CTGGTGCAAATTACTGACCTCTGTCATCATTTTAAGTGGGGGAACTTGCACAATCGGTGGCTGACTAAATACTTTTTTGCCCCACTGTATTAACATATTGAGCCTCATCAGGGGCATCACAAAGATGTTGTTCAAAAGGTGTAATCCAGATACCAACAGGAAACTTGACTACCAAAATACACTTTTCAGAATGCTCCAGCGCACGGCTCTCCTCTCCAAATTGTCATGAGCCGAGGAAGCGTCTGGTGTTTTTCCACTCTCATCCTGTGTCTACCTGTGTCTGCCCTGGTTTCTCACCTGCCATCCATTGATGACAATGCGCTTAAGCCCCGCGCAGTCGTCTATTCTCTGCCAGTTTGTCAGCTACCTCTGGTGGTAACCAGGCATTGTTGCATCCTGTTTCTGTGTTCATTCACTGTACTTACCTCTAGTTTCCTTGTCAAGTTGCCGCTTTAGTCACCTGCAGCTCAGTTATCTGGATGCTGGTCTCCTTGGTAAGATTCTCTGCATCTCTCTGCAACCCGCTGCATTCTTACACAAGGTTTAAGAGTGTTTCTGGGAATTTTTTACCATTTTTGAGGTCAGACATTGATGTTTGATGAAAAGTCCTGGCTAAGAGTGTCCACTCTATTTCATCCCAAAGGTGATAAAGCTGAATAGAACATAGAATATGTCGCCATATAATCCTATAATATACACACAGCTGTACAAATTATCATTTGCATGGAATATTCTAATTGTATTTTGTGATGATGGCAGATAACAAGATTCTGTGAATTATTCCATGCTTGTTTTACAGCATTGAAAGCACAGGCATTGGCTATATTGTTATTCTTCATCACTAACTCCCTGAGTCAGGAGTGGGTAATTTGTGGACCTGGACTTTGTCAAAGTCTCTTATGAAAATAAACAACAATCTAATGTTACTTCTAGACCGTTTTCTGTTGATAGTAGACTTTCCCTCTGTTGAACAGTTTCTTTTATGCTGTGCTCTAAATGTGCTTGAGTGCAGAAATCCAGTTAAATTCACCTATTTAAAAAAAGCAAACATGCACACATTAAATTCAAAGTAAATGAAATTTATCTCTTAGTGTACCTTTAAAATGTGTAAAGGACATTTAGTGTATGACGCATCTGTGTTTCTGACTTTGCTCCGGCCATCATTAGAGGTTAACACCATCAGAGCTCTGCTGCTGATGCTGTACCCACATTCTCACCAAAACACTTCCCCTTCATTTCTCAGAAGAAAATAATGCAATGAGGAACAAACATGTGTCACAGCAAAGAAATGCCATCTTAACTTCATGACTACTCTTAGACATCAACAGCCAATTTCTGTTGAAGTTTTCTCTTCCTCAGCATAAATTCTGAAAACAAAATAATAACATATCCTGGTGAAAAAGTAATAAGAGCTACAAGTATTTACACAATCGCATTCATCATCTTCTCTTTTTTAAGGCACCAAATACATCACTGTGACAAATGCACTGTTTGGCTGTGGTTAGTTACTCATTTTAAATTTACAGAGTCATTGACAGTCTGGTGTGACCGCTGACCTCTGTAATATTGTTTGCTTCAGATGCTGATTATAAACCACAGAAGATTAAGAATTGAAATTGTCAAAGTAAGGACTCTCTATATTTTTATGAACAGTTACAGTGAGGTGGTGAGATGATAACCACAGGAAGTCAGCACAGCCTCTCTATATGAAGCTCTGTTTCAGAGACTGTGACTGTCATTTTTGTGAAAAGCAGGAAGGAGAAAGACAGACAATGACGACTCAGTTCAAATGGATTAAATTCTTTTCATCAGTTTTACTAATGCTTCAAGTAACAGGTAAGAATACAAATACATTTATAAATGAAATTAGAAAAGTCAAGTTTACACAGTTGATTTGATTTTATCTTCACAGCAGCAGCAGTTGAGTTTATTATCAGGGATGAAGGTGAGGTCACTTTGTCATGTGAAAATGTGACAGATGATCAAGATAAATGTGACAGTACTCACTGGCTCTTCAGTAAATCAAACACAGCAACAATAACACTGTTTGAACACGGGAAGATTCACCAAGAGGCTGAAAATAAATTAGACAGACTGAGTGTTACAGCAAAATGTTCTCTGGTTATAAAGAAGCTCACAGCTGAGGATGTTGGTCAGTACACCTGCAGAAGGTTCAACAAATCAGGACAAAAAGAAGGTTCAGACTCTGTAGCTGAGCTGTCTGTTGTTAACCGTGAGTATTTCCATCATAATGTTTTCAGATTGTTTGAACATCAAACTGAAACATTACAATAACTATAATTACAGTGATGATTACTGTAAATGTTATTCTTGTTCTCTTTTCTTTTCTTTAACAGTAACTGAACATAAGGATGATGACACAGTGACATTAAACTGCTCTGTGTCCACATATCAAGAATGCAAATACTACACTGTGAAGTGGCTCTATGGTAACAAAGACCTGAGGATGTCACAGTCTGCCTGCTCAGCCAGTGTGATCTTTACAAGATTTGATCACATTTACACATCCAAGAGTTCTGAGATGTTGAAGTGCCAAGTGACACATGGTGGAGAGGTGCAGGAATTTATCTTCAGGATTCAATCTGTTGACCAGGAAATAGGTGAGAATGCAATTAGTTCTTACAGTAACTTCATCTGTTATGAAATGTAAACTGTTGTATGTGATTTTAAGATGTCACTTTGAGGAAAATCCTGCAGAGAGGTTGTAATGGGGGCAGAAGGAAAAAGAGAAGTCAGGTTCATGATGTTAAAGATCTACAGCAACATAGATTTTATCTAAACATAACCAGAATCTTCCATTTGATTGTTGAGGGGGCTTTTGTTGAGAAAAGAACAGAAAACAATATTTAAAGTATTTTAATGTGTTTTTTAATTTCTTTCCAGGCTGGTGCTGGTGGAGGTTCATCATTGTGGCTGTGGGTGTAGCAACACTCATAACAGCTGCTGTGGTCATCCACATTTGGACAAGAGCGGCAGGTGAGAACATTCACAATTAAATGGGAAGATTTGATAAATCTGGATATTCTCTGTGAAAGCTAAGTTTGTTTCCTTCTCTGGTCTTTTTAAGGGAATAAAAGTTCAGCCGTATGAAAATGAGGTGAGTTTTTGTTGCATTGAGCTAAACAAACTCAGAATGTGTTTTCTGTCTTTTTATCTCTGAAAAATGTTTACAGCGCTAATATTTGTAAATCACATTTTCAGAGGAAAACCAAAATGCATCTGCATGTTTAAATTTCCATATAGGAAAGATAATATAAAAAAAGAGCAAACTGAAGCTTCAGGTTCAGTTTTCATGTTAAATTCTTCTATTTATTCAATGCTCATGTTCATTATAGTTTAAATAAATCACATTTTGTACCTAATGGTGTTAATGTAATGTCATGGATGTCTTACAGTTTATCACTTTTAGTTTGTGCTACATTGATGCCCAAAGATCACAAAAGCTATATCATGTTGAAGTCTAATGTCCAGAGAGTGAATGAGTTTGTCATCATGCTGTATGTCACAGGTATGTAATGATGAAAATTTTGACAGTGAAATATGGAAGTAGAAGATCTGATGGACACTGACTGATCCTTCTGCGTCTGTCAGACTTCAGTAATGTGATGGAAAATGTTAAGATTCTGTGCTTCTCTTTGTTATACGGGCCTAACTGAAATGAACGATGCATCTCAGTGTGTTTGTCTCCATATTATTTTGTAATACAAGACATACTCAGCTGCATGTAATGTTCTGATTGTATTCTGTGACTGTGGCAGGTTGATAAGGTGTTTCTATAAATGATTCGATTCTTGTTTTTATTCTTAATCTAAAGAAATACATACTGCTGCTGTACTCTGTGTTGTTGTTTGTCTTTGCAACGGCAAATAAAAAAACCTCAGAAAATCTGTTTGTGAAGACTGATTTATTTCAAATTAACAGAACAAACTTGTGTCAGTGATTTCTGGGTTTGACTGGGGTCGACAAAGCAGCGACCAATCATTCTGGAAGGCAGCCTTTCCAGCCGCACAAGATGGGATTTCGAGATTACGTGCACCAGACTGAAGTAACTGGGCATTTCTAACCTTGGGAAAAACGTACAACACAACACGATATAGTAACTTAAATTAATAAGTATTAATAGTAATAATAGTAATAAAATTATGAATAAGTGTATGTGTATTGCACACTGTTATTATTGCACATTAACTCTCTGTACACGGTCTGACAGGAAGTCTCCGATCCAGCGGCCGGTAGTAGAAGGAAGTCCGATATCCAGCAGTTTAACTATCAGTCTGTCTGTGAGTATCGTATTGAAAGCAGAGCTAACGTCAACAAAGAGCAGCCTGGCGTAACACCCTGTTGTTCCAGGTCAGAGATGGTGGTGTGGAGCATTGTAGGAATGGCATCTTCAGTTGATCTGTTAGCTCTGTATGCAAACTGGAGCGGGTCAAGTGTGGGTGGCAGGCAGGACATGATGTGTTGTTGGACCAGTTGCAATGTCACATTGAGGCTGCTAATGTTGGTTCTCTTTGGCAGTGGGACAATTGTGGCCGACTTTAGGCACAGCGAGATGCAGGACTGAGACAGTGAAACATTGAAGATCTTAGTGAAGACCCGGGCCAGCTGGTCTGCATATTCTTTTGGAAACCTTCCAGTCACCCCATCTTGACCGGCGGCCTTCCTGGGGTTCACTGACCTCAGTGTGCGCACCACCTCATAATCCTGCACCATGAGGCTTGGGCTGCTGCTGCTGTCCGATGTTTTAGCTGCTGCTGCCTCTGGTACCTTCACCTCAAGGCATGTGAAGAAGTGGTTCAGCTCCTCTGCAAGTGCCACATTGCCCTCAGTCAACGTGGTACTGCCAGGTTTGTAGTTGGTTAAGTGCTGAACTCCCTGCCATACTTGTTGTGAGTTGTTGTTGCTGAAGTGGTCTTCAATCCTCCACTTGTATGCTGCCTTGGCCTTTCTGATACCTTTTTTTTCAGGTCAGATCTGGCTGCACTGTACTGCATACCATCAACGGATCTGAAAGCGACATCACATCTCTTTAGTCATCCAGGGTTTCAGGTTGGAATACACCTGGAAACGTTTGTCCGCAGTGGCACTGTTGACACAGAAGTTAATATATGAGAGCACTGATGTTGTGTGTGCATGTGATGCACCTTCTGGCAGGGTTTTCACAGTCTTTGTGGCTGGGGAGGCTCTCCTCCTAACAGGAGTGTATGCAGGGATTAGCAGCATGCACATGTGGTCTGACAAACCTAGATGTGGTAGAGGGGTTGCTCTGTAGCCTTTTTGGATGTTGCCGTAGGCTTTATCCAGTGTGTTTTCCCCCCTTGTTGCACATTTAATATGCTCTTCAAATCTGGGAAATACTGACCTTAAGTCGGCATGGCTGAAGTCCCCAGCTATAATGTACTGCACTGAGAATGAAATGGATAAATCTCCTCAGTGAAATTCTAGGTTTTATCTTTGTTTGGATCAAAACATTGACTCTGCCCCCCAAGTGGCTCCAGCACATGGCACCATCGTGAAGTTTTTTTTAAATGTGTGTATGGCAGCTTTTGCAATCAAAATTGTGATCTAAATGCATGGTGGTGCCAAACATTTTTTATACCTTTATTTAATCTTTTTGTGTTATTTCAGATATTACATTATGTGGAATAGAAACAAATAGAAATGCACAACATATACAACTGCTGTACCTGTCAGAGACAAAAGAAATCCACACATACAGCAACTGGAACACAAAAAATGAGAAAATACACAAATACATTAATCAAAATTCTTCCTGTAGAGTGTGAGTGAGAGAGAGAGAATTCCTGCTTCCTTGTCACAAATGTACATGATAATGAGGACAGGAAGCTGCAGCGATGCCCCTCAGAAGCCTGGAAGCAGAAAGAGATGGAACCAGGACAAACATGCCATCCACAGTTCCCAAGAGTAACAAAGATCTGAGGCCACACATCCCAGGGACATCCATGATCCCATTCCAGCAGGAGAAGAATGGAGGCCCCAGATATGAGTCAAGAGTGGGGTCCCAGGACCACCCAGCACAAACCTGCCCCCGACAAGGGCGAAGTCCAGGCCAACCCAAGCCACCAAGGAAGCATACCAACAGCCATGCACCCCACCAACACGCATCTGCATCCCAGGGAGGGGCAAAAGCATCCAGCGCCAAGCGGTGACCATGTCCCACCTGGGCCAAGACCCAGCAAGCCTAAGACCAACGACTAGCCATGCGCACACAAACACACACAACATTCATTCATTCACTGTCACACACCCACTAGTGGCACACAGAAAGACAAGGACATGTGCACACATTGACCCCCCCTCTCCTATGCCGCCCTGAACAAGCAGCAAGGATGAAGCCAAAGTGAACCACAAGACCCCCGTGAGTGTGAAATAACCATATAGGAAAATGCCTCCTCCCTCACCCCCCGACACACACACACTTATTGTTGAAGGCGTTATTTGAAGTTGATGTACAGCTAGTGCTTTAACATTTCCACATCCCTTTACCACTACTTCTTTTTCAAGTACACATCATGCTCTGACAGTTCATTTTTGTTCCTCAACACTAACCTGAGTGTTTCAAAATGGTGGGAAACCAGTTCAGTCACACACTCAGTGTGCTAATCCTTTGTGGCTAATGAAAATTAACAAATGGGCTGCTGTCAGTGTGTGTGGGGACAGTGTGCAGAGGCTTTTCATTGACCCATCGGTCAAAAGTGTGTCGGCCAACTAGACAAATGCTCTGTACGGCAGGTTACAAGTCCAGCCCTGTCTGATGCTTTGTATTGCACTTATGTATGGCTTGGATACTGCTCAGCCATGGAAACCCAGAATATGAAGATCTCTACACACTGTTCTTGACCTAATCTGAAGGCTGAATGAAATTTGTAAGTAAGTAGCCATTGACTCTACCTCTGTACCTCAGTGCGCTGACCCAATGTGTGGCTGAGTTGCTGTCATTCTCAATTACTTCCACTTTGTTATATTAGCACTAACAGCTAACTGTTGAATATTTAGTGGCAAGAAAATTTCACAAATGGAATTGTTGCACAGGTGGCATCCTATGACGGTACCATGATGAAGTTTGTTGCGCTCCTGTGAACGACCCATTCTTTCACAAATGCTTGTAGAAGCAGTCTGCATGGAGGTGATGGATTTTATACACTTGTGGCCATGGAAGTGATCAGAATACCAATAATACAAGGTCTTGAATGATTAGGCCCCATCATACCTTAATGACCTTATAATACCATATGACCACATTACAGCACTTTGCTCTCAGACTGCGGGCTTACTTGTGGTTCCAAGAGTATTAAAAGGGAGAATGTGAGGCAGAGATTTAGCTTTCAGGGCCATCTTCTGTGAAACCAGCTCACAGTTTGGATTCAGGACACAGATACCCTCTCTACGTATAAGATTAGGCTTAAAACTTTCCATTTTGATAATGCATATAGTTAGGGCTGAATCAAGTGACCCTGAATCCTCCCTTAGTATGCTTGTCCATAGGAGGTCATATGATTGTTGAGATTTCTCTGCTTCTTGTAGACCAAGTTAGCTAAACAACCTGAAATTTCTTCAGAACCCAGATCACCCATCACACTGAACTCATCTTTATTTCTTCTGATCCTTTGAAATCGTCACGAGTACATCAATTATGCGCCTTTGATGCTCCACACACACCTCTACTTCTAGGACACTGGTGGCTCAAAGAACAAAACCCCATTAAACTGGTAGCTTAATAAGTGTTTGGGCTGAAGTCTCTTCTGTAATGAACACTAACCAGCAGGGGAAGCTATGGAAACTCAGTCATGGCTACTAGTATCCTTTACCTCTGTTGTCGTATACTTGAGCTCTTGCAGAGGAAAAAAAAGAAAGTATTTTCCAAACCAAAGCAAAGCAAAGCAAAGGATGGCTTCCAAGCCTATGTTGGATCTTGTGCATAAATGTGTGCATTCACTCCACTCTGCCTGCCTGGTTCATTCAGGTTGGCTTACCTGTTCTTTGTTGCTTTCGATTAAATCTTTGCAAATAAACTCTGTTAACTCTGATCTTCTATGCCCTGCTCTTGTGAGTGAGTACTGCTCTTGCTTTGGTGTCATGACTTTTGCTAATTCACATATATGGACTTAGTGTTTTATTAAAATAAACAAACTTCTACTTTGTTTTTGGACATTGTGTGCTAACACTGTTATAACTTTCATTATCATCATATTATCAGTTTCACTTTTGTTGATTGTAGACTTTCACTCTGTCAAACAGCTTATTTTAAGCTGTGCTGTATATTAGTTTGAAATAGGAAATCCACTCAAATTCATCTGTAAAAGAAAAGAAAATCAGCAAATATACAAATACTGGTAAAATTCAAAGCAAATGCAAATTATCTCTTGGTGTACTTTTAAAATGTCTAGAGGACATTCAGTTTGTGGCAGATCTGTGTTTCTCACAGATGTTTGGCCATCATTAGAGGTTAACACCATCAGAGCTCTGCTGCTGTTGTGCCCACATTCTCACCAAAACACTTCCCCTTCAGTTCTCAGGAAAAGAAAGAGCAGTAAGTATTTACACAATTGCATTCATCATCTTCTCCTTTTTTAAGGTATCAAACACGTCACAAATGAGCTACACACTCATTTTAAATTTGCAGGGTTTTTGACAGTCTGGTGTGACCTTTGACCTCTAATTTTCTTTGGTTCATGTAGTTATTAGAAACAACAGAATGCTATGAATTAGAATTTTCAGGGAAAGGACTCTGAATGTTTTAACAGTTACAGTGAGGTGGTGAGATGATAACCACAGGAAGTCAGCACAGCCTCTACATGAAGCTCTGTTTCAGAGACTGTGACTGTCATTTTTGTGAAAAGCAGGAAGGAGAAAGACAGACAATGACGACTCAGTTCAAATGGATTAAATTCTTTTCATCAGTGTTACTAATGCTTCAAGTAACAGGTAAGAATACAAATACATTTATAAATGAAATTAGAAAAGTCAAGTTTACACAGTTGATTTGATTTTATCTTCACAGCAGCAGCAGTTGAAGACTCTGAATTTATTATCATGGATGAAGGTGAGGTCAC